TCGACCGAGGTGACTCAGTCGTGCTGCGGATCAAGACGTCTAAGACCACGGCGGGCAAAAACGCTGCAGAGGCCGTCGTCGTCCGGTCAGCAGTTGCCAAGGCAATGCTCAGGCCAGTCGTGCCGCAGCGGCCCGCAGGCGAAGCCCTGTCGTGGAGGTCGCCCGCCCAGCTCAGAAGTGCGCTCGGGGCCCCCGCGCGCGGCCTGGGCTTTCCGGGGCGCTTCTCATGGCACTTTATCCAACGAGGAGGCGCCTCATATTTTTTCTTGCGGTCGCCCTCCATGGGGTCCGCGCTCGTCAAGGGCAGGTGGGCCAGCAGCATGGCGGCCCGCATCTACGTCGAGGGTGCGGTGGCAGAGCTCGTGCGCGTGCGGCCCGCGGACCAGGCCGCCGCCGCTCTTTTACATGGATTGCGTTTGTTGCCTGTATATACACACGAGTTTCGCTCTGGCAATGATTTCGTAGTTCCAAATTCGAAAGCAGACTAATGTACTGCAAATGAGGTGGATGGGGTGGAGAGTTTAACAGCATTTTCACGGCTAGTAAGCCACGAGGGGGTGGAGTGGGTATAGCGTGTTTTCCCCGTTTTTGCGGTGCCGCGGACTGGGGTTCAGTGTGACCTGGGTCCTGAAACGTCCCTCCGTGTCGTGAAGCTGGCCCGTGAAGCCTGGAGTGAAGCCAGTGTGGACTGCCACGCTTGGTTGCTCTGGCTGCGGGGGTCTTGCTCTTGGCTTGGCGCAGCTGCGGGGGTTGGGGGCGTCGGGCGGTCCGCGGCGAAACGCAGTCTGAGGGGGGAACTGAGCTATTAGACCATTGGCGTGGACACGTGCAGTAACATGATATATTCCTATATCTATATTTATATCTATATATATATGGTCGCTCCCCTGTGATCATACATTTCGTTTTTTTCGTCGTCGTCGTCGTCGTCGTCGTCGTCGTCGTCGTCGTCGTCGTCGTCGTCGTCCTCGTCCTCCTCCTCCTCCTCCTCCTTCTCCTCATTTCGGGGGAGAGGAGTCGGGGGGGAGGAGTAAGCGGAGGAGACGGAGGAGGGTGTCCGCGGGGGCCGAACGGGAAACCGAACAACATGAAAAACAAGACAATGGGAAACAACTTGTGTTTTTCATATGGAAAAACAAGGAACCCCCCCCCTTCGAGGGCGGGGAGGAGGAACACAAGGAAAACAAACACCTCTCCTCCGTCTCCTCGATGAAGAGGAAAAAACTTCGCCTCAGAGGGCGGGGAGGGTGGACAAAAGGACAACACCGCCCTGCCCTTGTCTGTTTTCTCCATTTGGGGAGACGGGGGAGGAGGAAGCGGAGGAGTAAGCGGAGGAGACGGAGGAGGGTTTTTTTTCCTTTTTTCCCATCTCCCCGTCCTCGGAGGCGGAGTTTGGTTTGTCGTTTTTTCCTGTGAAAACACAGGTTTTTCATATTTTTTTTCTTGTTTTTCGCTCCCCCCCCAGGGGCGGCGGGGAAACCTTGAGGGGCCGAACGGGAGACAGAACAACAGGCAAAAAAGGAACAATATGAAAAACACAATGTTTTCACATGGGAAACAAGGAAAACAACTCCGCCTCCGAGGGCGGGGGGGGAGGGAGGGAAACAAAGGAATAAAAACACCCTCCTCCGTCTCCTCAGCCTACCCCTCTCCCCCTTCCTCCTCCCCCGCATCCCAATGGAGATACCAGAGGGGGGGGAGGGAAGTAGGGGGGAGAGGAGTAGGCGGAGGAGACGGAGGAGGGTGTTTTTTCCTTTTTTCCCCCTCCCCGCCCTCGGAGGCGGAGTTTTTTTTTTCATGTGAAAACGCATTTTTTTTTCTTTTTTTTTATATTATTTTTCTTTTTTTCAATCTTTTTCGGGCCCCGCCTGGGGCGGCGGTCCCTCCACAGACAAACTCAATATGTGGAGGCCCCTCCACATAACGAATCTATATTCGAAGGCCCATCCACATAAGAAATTCATGTGGAGACCCCTTTGACCTAAGAAATGAATATGTGGAAGTCCTTCCACAGACGAAATCAACATGTGGAGGTCCCTTCCACATAAGGAATCAATATGTGGAGGAATCCCCCCCACAAGAGGAATCAATATGAGCGAGGCCCCTTGCACATAGGGAAAAAATATGGGGGAGGCCCCTCCACAAAAGGAACCAATATCATCTTTCTCCTCCTCATCTTCCTCCTCCTACTCCTTCTGCTCCTTCTTATCCTCAACCCCTGCGCCAGAGCGGGAGGAGGAGGAGGAGGGGGAGGAGCAGGAGGAGGAGGAGGAGGAAAAGGAAATCGCCCGCCGCAAAAGAACTCAATTGGTGGAGGTCCCTCCACAGACGGAATCAACATGTGGAGGCCCCTCAACTTAAGGAATCGATAATTTGAAGGCCCATCCACATAAGGAATCAATATGTGCAGACCCCTTCAACATAAGGAATCAACAAGTGGGAGGACCCTCCGCAAAAGAAATTAATATGGAGACCCCTTGCACATAGGGAATCAATATGTGGAGGTCCCTCCACAGACGGAATCAACATGTGGAGGTCCCTTCCACATAAGGAATCAATATGTGGAGGATCCCCCACAAAAGGAAACAATCTCATCTTTCTCCTCCTCATCTTTCTCCTCCTACTCCTTCTGATCCTTCTTCTCCTCAACCCCTGCGCCGGAGTGAGAAGGAGGGGGAGGAGGAGCAGAAGGAGGAGGAGGAACAGGAGATCGCCCGCCACAGAACGAATCAATATGTGGAGGTCCCTCCACAGACGGAATCAATATGTGGAGGCCCCTCCACATAAGGAATCTACATGAAAAGGCCCATCCACATGAGGAATCCATACTTGCAGGCCCTTTCACATAAGGAATCATTATGTGAAGGCCCCTTCCACATATGGAATGAACAAGTTGGACGCCCCTCCACATAAGAAATCAATATGGAGATCCTTGCTCATAAGGAATCAAAATGTGGAGGTCCCTCCACAGACGGAATCAACACTTGGAGATCCCTTCCACATAAGGAAACAACATGTGGAGGATCCCCCACAAGACGAATCAGGCTCTTTCCACATAAGGATTCAACGAGTGGGAGGCCCCTCCACACAAGATATCATTATGGAAAACTCTTGCACATATGGAATCATTATGTGGAGGTCCCTCCACACATGGAATCAATATGTGGAGGCCCCTACACATAAGGAATCGATGTTTGAAGGCCCTTGGAAAGACGAACATATGCAGAGAAGTCGGATCAGCGATAAACGAGTAGAAGGAACGACAATGATACTGAAGAGTAGGAGGGACAATAAAGAGTAGAAGGAACGAGGGCGGTAAGGAAGCTTGCGAAGGGGAAGAAGATGACGAGGCCCTGCAACGGAGAAGGGTGGGAGGAAGGAGGAGGGACGAGGGGTGAGGGAGGAGGGAGGATAGGGAGGATAACGAACATAATCAAAAGGAGAAGGAACAAATCATAGAAAGAAATGCAGCGGGAAGGAACGACACCGATGCGGACGGAGAGTGGGCAGCATACTAGGGGGAGGGCTGACAAAGAAAGAAGTGGGAAGTAGCGAAGACAAGGCGAATGGAGAAGATGGGAAAGGAGAGGAGGAGGAGGAGGAGGAAGAGGAGGAAAGGGAGGAGGCACAGGGGGAGGAGGAGGATGAGGAGGAGGAGGGAGAGGGGCAGGAGGAGAGGGAGGGGAAGGAGGAGGAGGAGGAGGAGGAGAAGGAGGAGGAGGACGACGAGGAGGAGGACGACGACGACGACGACGAAGACGACGACGAAGCCGACGAGAAAAAAACGAAATGTATGATCACAGGGGGGGGCGAGCATATATATATATATATATATATATATAAATACACAGATTCATATATGTGTGTATGCACATGTGTATGTATATGTGTACGTGTGTGTATGTGTGTACATATATATATACACAGCCACATAAATATATGTATGCATGTATGACAGAGCGCGTTGTGTGTTCGCTTGGAGGGGGGGGGTGAAACCAGGCCCCCCCCCCCTGGATGGGGGGGTTGTGTTCGAACCCACCCCCTTCCCGTGACGGGGGGGGTTCGAATCCCCTCCCCTCCCCCCCCCCCCCTCCTCTGCGCCCCCTCTCCTCGGGCCGGCGCTTGTGTCGGCGGCGGCTGGCGACGGCGGCGGGGGCGACGATTTCCATTCCTGGGCCGGTGCCGGCGCCTGCGGCGGCGGACGGCGGTGGCGGGAAGCGTCGACGAGGACGACGGTGTTTTGTGGTGGTGGTGGTGATGGTGGTGGGGTTGTGCTGCTGGTAGTGGTGGTGGTTGTGGCGGTGGTGGTGGTGTGGGAGATGTGGTAGTGGTGGTAGTGGTGGTGGGTTTTTGTGGTGGTTATGGTGGTGGTGGTATTGGTGGTAGCGGTGGTTTGTTGTGGTGGTGATGGTGGTGGTGGCTGTGGTGGTGGTGGTTGTGTGGTGGTTTGTGGTGGTGGTGGTGGTAGTGGTGGTGGGTTATGGTGGTGGTGGTGGTGGTGGTGGTAGTGGGGGTGGCGGTGGTGGTGGTGGCATGGTGGTGGCGTGGTGGTGATGGTGGTGGTGCTGGTGTTGGTGCTGGTGGTGGTGCTGGTGGTGGTCCTGGTGGTGGCTGTGGGTGGTGGGTGGGGGTGGTGGTGGTGGCGGGGGTGGTGGTTGTGGTGGTGGTGGTGGTGGTGTGGTGGCACGTGGTGGTGGTTGTTGTGGTTGTGGTGGGTTGTGGTGGCGTTGGTGGTGGTGGTGGTGGTGGTGGTGGATGGTGGTTGTGGTGGTTTGCAGGGGTCAGTGAGAGTAGGGCCCCCCGCGCAGGGCCTGTGATGCAAGGGCCCTGAAGGGCCCAGCGTGCGCGGGGGCCGAGGAGGCCCGAGACCGTCGGAGGGTGGTATTCCCTCCGAAGCTCATCGGGGCTCGAGAAACATCGAGCCTGCATCATCATCTCTGCATGGTGACAGGTTGTGAGATATCGAACCTTCCCCAAGAGACTAGTGCCGCCTGCGCGGCATGGCGGCCGATGGCGTGGCTGCAGGGGCGCAGCTGCTTGATTCCGTGGAGTTGGGAAGGTGCCGGCCTTCTCTGGCAGGCGGGAGGACTTCGAGGACTGGAGGACCTTCCCGTTCGAGAACTACTGCGGCTTGCTGGGGTGGGCGGCGGGCCTCGAGATGGCCAGAGACGCGGCGGAAACGCTTAGGCCAGAGGATCTGGGCGAGCAGGGTGCGCAGGTCGGCAGGAGTTTGTGCCGCCTGCTGGCGAGCGCTGCGGAGGGCGCGGCGCAGAGCATCGTGATGTTGCGCCCGCGGGGCGACGGCTTCGAGGCGATGGGGGGCGGGGGGGGGGGCTGCGCGGCGAGTGCAGGCCGCGCTTGAACGAGGAGCACTGTCAGACGCCCCAGCAGATCCTGGCACCGCTCTCGTGGAAGGAACGCGAAGGCGAGGAGCGCTTCGCGGAGGCGCTGATTGCCTGGGGCGAGTTGATCTCGCGCTACGAGCGCGCCGCGGGCGAAGAGGTCACGCGTAAGATGGAGACGAGCTCGATCATGGCGCGCGCCCCCGACGACGTGAAGGCCATGCTTCGGTCGGCGCAGAGGGGCGCGCTAAGCGACGCCGCGCGGGCGAGGAGCTGCATCTTCGAGGCGGTGATCGGGCAGAGTGGTGCGATCGCAAAGCCGCCGACGGCGAGCATGGGGAACTATGACATGGGCGTCGACGCGATCTCGAGTGGTGGCAAGGGCAAGAACGAAGACGAGTGCCAGATCTGCGGGTGGCCGAACCACGCGGCCAAGGACTGCTACTGGCGAGACGAGGGCAAATCCAATGGCGACGGCGAGGCACGAGGCGCTGGAGCTGGTGGCAAGATGAGTTGCGGCAAGGGCAACAAGGGCCAAGGTCTGGGCTGTTCCACTGGGAAGTGCGACTATTGCCACGAGGCGAGCCGCGAGAAAACGGGCTGCGGGAAGCGTGTGGCCGACGAGAAGGCGAAGAACAGCGCGGCGATCGAGCAGGAGGGCACAGGGCCGAATGCACTTGCCAAGATAGAGTTCGCTGGCGACGAAGAGTGCGAGATCCACGACGACGACCAGCTTTACTGCGCAGTGATGCGGGCAGGCGACTGTGACGAGGAGTGCTGCGCGATGGACGTCGACGGCGCCGCCTTCATCGCGCCGGACACGGCGAGCGACTGCCGCGCGGGCCCGACCTCCTTCGGCGGAGGGTGCGTTCGGAAGGCAGGCGACGGCCCGAGGCTGCTGGGCGCGCAGACGCAGGGCGTCAGGATGGGCACCGTCGCGACGGCGCCGATGACGGTCGACAGCGACAACGAGCAGACGAAGCTTCCGATGGCGGACTTCAGGCTTGGCGACGCGGTGTCGAAGCCGCTCGTCTCGCTGCTCGAGGTCATGGGCAAGGATGCGGAATTCTGACTAAGCGCGAAGTCGGGCGTGGGCGTGTGCCCGGGCGGCGACCTCAGCAGGGGCGCCCCGCTCACTAGGCGCAACAACGCGATTTGCTTCAACGCGAAGACCATCAAGTCGACGACGGAGGCGCGGGAGTTCGCGGCGCGCGTGAACGCCGACGAGCAGCGGGCTGAGGAGGAGTTCGGGCCATCGCCCGGGGCCTCAGGCAGCGGCGGAAACGTGGCGGCAGCGGCCCGACCTGGGCCAGCGCAGCCGGCTGCGACGGCAGCAGAAGGATGAGATCGAGCACTCGAGCAGGTTGCGCGACGGCCAATGCTGCAGCGTGACGGCCAGGAGATCGCCCTGCATCCTCAGAGCCTCGAGGATGACATGCGAGCGAGGTTGCGGGAGTTGGGGGCGCCGAAATACGGCAGGAAGAACGAGCTGTGGACCAGGGTCAGCGACGCGGAGCGAAGGGTCACGGCGCGCCGCGACGAGCTGAAGGAGTTGGAGCGCAGGCGCGAGCAGTCCGTCCAGGGGGCGCCTGCGATCGCACCGCGGCAAGTTGCTGGGCCAGCGGGGCCGGCGTCTGAGGAGAGGGCAGCCCGCGAGTTGCTGCTCTTGACGAATGCCGAGTGGTGCGGGGCCTGCGGGCGCGGCGGCACGACCGCATTTTCTGCTGCCTGAAGGCCAACGGCGACGGCGCCGAGGTTGGCGGCGAGGGGTCGCGGGCGGCGGGCGTCTTCGCGACGACGCTCGTGATGGCGGACAGGGGCGCTCTGATGTTCGACGCGATCTCGATGCCGACGAAAGCTGTCGCCGACTATGCAGTGGCGAGCGTGGGCAACTTGATCGAAGGCATGCACCTGGCGACCGCGGACATCAAAACGGACGGCGGGCCAGCGACTCGTTCAGTGTTCCACGCGTTTTTGAATCCCTAGTTGTCGTTTCCCTGCCGTCCATCCATGGCTGTTTGCTCAAAGTCTTTTTCCAGGGGCATGAAGGAAGCCCTGCGGCCCCTCGTCGAGGCCAGCGCCTCGGGGATCCGCGAGATTGCCCGCGCGGGCTTCCACGCTGGCGCGTCCTGGGCGCTGCTGCCCAGCTGCCCTGCGGCGCCTCCTTGCCCGCCGTGCCCGCCTTGCCCCGCGTGCTTCTGCACGTGCGGGGAGGGAGGCGGAGGCGGCGGCGCTCCTGCTGGCGGCGGCGGCGGGGGCGGCGGCCCTCGCTGGTTGGCGGCCGCAGGCGGGCCGGTGTGCGACGCGCTCGCCGACGCGCTCGTCGGGGCGCTGCGCGAGGCGGTGGAGGGCTGTATCGGCTGGGGGGCCGCGATAGCGCTGGTGCTGCTCGCGTTGCTCGCTGGGTTCGGTCTCGGACGCCTCAGCCTCGCCGCGGCAGCTCGCCTCGAGCCTCGCGATGGCGCTGGCGCCCAGGGGATCGTCGTGGCGGCTTCTCCCGGGGTGCAGAGCAGTGGTGCGCTACGCAGGGGGCGACCTCTGGCACGAGCGGATCCTGCTGTACCCAGCAGCCAGTGAGGCCGCTGGCGCCGGGCTCCCAGGAGCCTGCTGGGTGGTGTACACTCCCGACCACGACATGTACATCGAGGAGCTCGAGGGAGGCTCGCCCGACGACAGTCCCGTCGAGTGGCTGGAGATGCCGCGCGACTTGCGGCTGCCCAGTGGGCTCGGGCGGGCGTATCGCTTCGAGGAGTCTCCGACGGAGGAGGTGATGAGGGGCCTCTACCGTCGGACCTTCTCGGCCGCCCAAGCCGATGCGGAGGCGCGCGGGGTGCTGCTGGAGGCGCCGGTGGCGGTGCGAACGGCCGCAGGAAGAGACGTGGCGGTGCGCGAGGCGCTCGGGGCCAACTTCTTCGGCGGCCGACGGATGACGGGCAAGAGACCGCCTTTGGGGCTGGACCTCGGAGGAGACCGCGGAGGCCACGCTGGACCGGGAGTTGCGGCCGCGGAGGCCATTGGCGACAGCGGCGCCCCTGGGCCTGCCGTTGAGGGCAGTAGCACGCCGCGCTCGAGCGGCCGCGTCTGGCGAGCAGCCGAGGCCGACGAGCGCTGCCGCATCGCGCTCGGGGACGAGTTAGGGCCTCCTGCTCATTCGCTCTGTGGCAAAGGGCTGTACTTGGCGGCGCCCGGGCGAGCCGCGGTGGTGCACCTGGCGGGGCTCGACCAGGACTCTTTCGTGATGAGCCTGCGAGGAGGCGAGGGCCACCCCCTCAGTGCTGGCGCCGAGAACGGAGGCGGAGGAGATGCTCGAACCTTGACGGTGAAGAGTGGGCCGCGGGGCCGAGGCCGTGAGTGGCGCGAGGTGGTGGGCGCCTGTGAGGAGGAGCCCTTCGGTGACTTCCCGGTGGCGGGGCCTCGGTCAGCTTGGTGGTGCTTGGACTTCTTGCGGCGGCGGCGCACCCCCACGGATCATCACTTGATGTTCAAGACGACGGCGCGGCTCCAGTCGGAGCAGTGGGGGGTGCAGGAGCACGAGCAGCTCATGAAGTACATCGAGCTGGCCGGCACCTACGACCAGCTGGACCTCAGCAACTGTGCCTTCGCCGAGGCGATCTTTCGGCGGGCGCAGACCATCGAGTGGAGCTACCACGATCGGTTGCGGGAGGCCGACTCGGCCAGCTCCAAGGACAAGATGAGTCCCGAGGAGTTCTCGGCCTTCAGCGGCTTCAGCAAGGCTGGGGACCTGCTGATGGTGGCCCCCACGCTCCTCGAGTTCGTGAAGGGCCAGGTCGAGAAGGACGCCGCCATCATGAAGAACATCAGGAAGGCTCGAGAAGAACGAGAGCTCCGCCGCAAGGGTCCCAAGGGGGAAGGCGGCGGAGGGAAGTCATGACGGCGTCGCGGGAAGGAGGCCTGAGCGCGGCCGCCTCCTTCTCGAGCTTCAAGGCCGCCGAGCCCCAGGGCTCTCCTGCATGCGTACCTGGGCGAATTCAATTCGACGGAGTTCCAGGCCGTCGAGACCTTTTCCCTGTCCCGCTGCTTCGGGGCGGCCTGGCTCCCGCGAAGGGCGTGGCGAGCCGCTCGGTTCGGCGCCGGCTGCTGCGGCGCGACGCTCATGTGGCTGAAGCCAACCGCGCCCTTGGGGCCCTCAATGATCTGGCTTGTCGGCCCGGGGCGCCCGGCGCTCCTGGCCTGGCGGAGCGGCTACCCCGCCGCTTGGTACATGAGCGCGTTCGTCATGCTGCTGCTGCGCTGGGCCCCCTGCCACCTGGCCTTACTCCCGCAGGAGCCCTCCGCGAGCTCCGCGGTGCTGGCGTGTACGAGGACATCGACTCGCCAGTCGTCAGCTTCGACGATTCCCTCGTCTCGCTGCCTGAGGCCGGCAACGCTCCTGTGCCGCTTGGGGAGCTGGTTGCAGGCGTGGGCGATTTTGATGTCGAGGCAGCAATGCACGAGCAGCTCCTTCCACGCAAGGATGCGGAGTCCAACCTCTCCGAGGCTCCGCGACAGCCGTACATGGATGCTATCCTACGAGCTCAGCCACACGCCTATGCTGGGCTGGTGCGGCGCTTGCATGCGGCGGGGATGGTGACCTTCTCAGCCGCGCCGCGTGAGAGGTGCGGCCTCTTCTTCGTGCGTAAGAAGTCTGGCAAGCAGCGCATGGTGATAGACTGCCGACGGGCCAACTGCTGGTTCAGGATGCCTTCGACAGTCGCGCTGGCGACAGGCTCTGCACTGGGAGAGCTGGCCGTGCCAGAGGGTGAGCAGCTCTACGTCGGTCACGTGGATATCTGCGACGCCTTCTACCACTTCGGCTTGCCTGAGGCTTTCCGTGATTACTTCGCGCTGCCGGCGGTGAAGGCAGGTGATGTGGGGCTGACTGTCCTGGGCGGAAGGTCCCTCGCGCCTGGCAGTCGTGTGTGGCCAGTCCTGGCGGTGTTGCCCATGGGCTGGTCGCATGCGCTGTAGTGGTGCCAGACCATTCACCGCGGGATCGTGAGCTCCATCCCCGCGCTGCTCGACGTTCCGTTCATTTCGGGCAAGAGTGTAGTGCCGCCGGTGCAGCCACTGGCGATGACTATATATGTGGATAATTTTCTCGCCTTGGGTACGGATCCCGAGGCCGTTTCCCGCGCAGTGAAGCTCGTCAACGCTGCCTTGACGTCCAGGGGGTTACCCACCCATGAGGTTTGTATGTGTGATCATGATGCCGACATCCTGGGGTGGGAGATTCGAGGACGAGAAAGAGAGATTCGACCAAAGAGATCAAGGCTGTGGAGACTTCGCCTGGCGCTCGATTGTTTGACAAGCAAGGCCGTCGTGAGTCCAAAAGAAGTTGAGAGAGTGTTGGGCCATTGTACCTTTGTTGCACTTCTTTGTCGTGAGCATTTGTCGATCTTCAGGTCCGTCTATGCCTTCATTCGGCGGCTGGGCCACTGTACCGCGGTCCCTCTTTGGGAGTCCGTCCGATGGGAGTTAAATGCGTTCTCGAGTTTGCTGTGTCTGATTTCCAGGAAGCTGCAGGTGTCATGGAGTTATAAGGTGATGTGCACGGACGCGTCCTTTTGGGGCTTCGGACTGGTCTGCAAGGACCTCGACAAGGACCTCGTGGGCTCGATGGGCGGTTTCTCAGAACGGTGGCGTTTCTTGGGCGACAACAAGGTGCTCTCCAGGGCTTGGGCTGCAGGCTCCAGTGAGGACGAGATCATGACGAAGCCTCTAGAGAGCTCCAAGGACTTCCAGCAGTTCGTGGGGGATGAGGAGGCTAGCAAGGAGGCCCGCACGCGGGCCGCTGGACGTCTTCCCGAAGCGGTTCGTGAGGAAGGTTGGGCTGTAGTGGGCTCGCACAGGTGGGGATCTCCGCCTGAGAACATCGTGGAGGGGGAGGCCAGGGCTATCGCGTTTGGGGTAAAGCACATTTGCAGATCCACGAAGGCCTTTGAGTGTCACCACCTCCTGCTATCCGACTCGCTCTCGTCTGTCTTGGCTCTGGGCAAGGGCCGATTCTCGGCCCCCGGCGTCAGCGGCGCGCTGCGCTCCGTGGCAGCGCATGTCGCGGCGACGGGGCTCCGGCTCAGTGCCCGCTGGCTGCCTAGCGAGTGGAACTTCGCCGACGGTCCTTCGCGAGGGCTGTGGCACGCTGGGTGCGCTCGCGCTGGAGTCGGCCAGGCTGGAGCGTCGCCAGGCGGCTGCCCCGGCGGGAGAGGCCCGCTCGGTCCCGAGGGCCCGCCCGGTGCCGCCGAGCCAGGCGACGTCAGCGCCGTCGCTTCGGAGGCTTCTCTGCGACGACCTGGCTGGCTCGCCACCGCTCTCCGAGGCGCGGGCACCGCCTGCGGCCGACAAGGTGAAGCGGAGGAAGCTGGCCCGGCGCGGAGCCAAGCTGGCCGAAGCGGGGACGCTGGACGTGCTACGGCTGAGCACGGTGCGGACGCAGACAGTGAGGTCGAGGTGCCAGCAGCTGGCCGCCGAGTTCGACGAGTGGCTGGCGGAGCAAGGGCTACCTGCGCGGCCGACGTTCTCCCTCGACGAGCGGAGGATGATCCCGCTGGCGCCCGAGGCTGCCGCCGAGCTGGACTGCAGCCTTGCGGAGTGGATGGTGGGGCAGTACCTGGAGGGCGTCGATCACTGGCGCGGAGTGCAGATGCTGGCCGCCCTGCAGTGGAGCGACCCGCGGCTCGGCCGCGACGGCGGGGCTCGTTTGCCCGGGGCCAGGCAGTCGCTCCGGGGCTGGAAGGTGCTGACGCCGCCGTTGACGAGACTGCCGCTCCCCGAGGAGGTCGTTGCCGCCCTGGCTTGCGAGCTGGTGAGCATGGGCCTGTGGGAGGCGGCGGCGTGCGTGGTCCTGTCGATGGTGTTCTACATGCGACCAGGCGAGTGGGGCCGCGTGCGAGTCAAGCACGCGATCGCGCCTCGCGCCTCGGGAAGCCAGGCCCCGCGACAGTGGGCCCTGGTGCTGCACCCACACGACGGCGAGGAGGCGCGGCCCAGCAAGACGGCAGAGTTCGACGAGAGTCTCGTGCTGGACCTCACCTGCGACCTGTGGCTGGGCGGAGTGCTGCGGAGACTGGCCGCTGCGAAGCCGCCAGACGCCGCGCTGTTCAGCTTCTCGGTAGAGGAATTCGCCGCGATCTTCAGACGCGCGGCCCGCCGCCTCGGCCTAGAGCCCGCGCCGATGCCATGCCTTCTCAGGCACGCCGGCGCCAGCCGAGACTTCGTGAACGGGCTCAGGCCGTTGAGCGAAGTGAAACGGCGGGGTCGCTGGAAGACGGACGCCTCCGTGCGGAGGTACGAGAAAGGAGGAAGGCTGAGCGAGCAGTTTGCGAGGCTGGCCCCAGCCCTCCAGAAGCACGCGCTTCGCTGCCACAGCGTGCTCCCCGAGGTTCTCTTAGGGAGGCTCGCTGCCCCGCCGTTCCTGGCTCGCTAGCTGTGAGAGTTTTTCTAGAGATCTTCTCAGGCTCTGGTCGCCTCGCGCGAACGATGGCGCGAAAAGGGTATCATGTGCTAGCGTGGGATATCAAGCACGGTCCCTTGTTTGATCTGCGGGACGTTTCGAGGCAACGTTTGATTCGGGGCTGGATTCAAGCCGGGCTCATTTTAGGTGTGCATCTTGGGACGCCGTGTGACAGCTGGTCGCGCGCCAGAGATATCCAGCCTGGTCCTCCCCGTCTCCGCTCCGACACATGTGTCCTAGGCCTGCCCGACTTGATACCGTCGGCGCAAGCCGCAGTAGATTTTGGAAATCAGATGATGCGCTTCAGTGTTTCAGTTCTAACGGTCGCCCGCCGCCTGCAGGTGCCGTGTTCGATGGAGAACCCTTCAACCTCTCGGCTGTGGCTCGCGCCGCCAGTCGCCTCGCTTGTCAGATCCACGCGTTGGTCTTTCGTCAGTACAGACTTCTGTCAGTGGGGAACCCCTTGGCGGAAGCGCACCAGTTTTTTAGGAACTTACATTGATTTGACCCCCTTGGTGAAGCTGTGTAAGCGCACCCGAGGCTGCTGCAGTCGAACAGGACAGCCCCACCAAGTCCTGGAGGGGCGTGCGCCCGATCGACGTTTCTGGACCGCCGTCGCCGAGGCATATCCTTCTCGCCTGTGTCAGCAGTTGGCCCGCGCTTTCGATGATGCAATCGTGTGCCGTAGAGTCTCAGCCATGGCTTCGAAATTGTCAATGTAACCTTCAGTAGGTAAATGAAGACGGCCTTGGGGCCATTCGACTTCGTGTTTTTGGCACTGTCCCTTCTGGCGTGTGCTAACCTCGAGTTGCAGGCTTCTGTCGCACGCGTCGCTGGTGGCGAGCTCTCTTCCAGAAAAAGTCGGCGTGCCTTGATGATCGAGGCGCTCCGCGCATGGCAGGTCCAGACAGCTGGGGATACAGTTCAGTGTTCCACACGTTTTTGAATCCCTAGTTGTCGTTTCCCTGCCGTCCATCCATGGCTGTTTGCTCAAAGTCTCCCTCCCTCCCGCCCTGTTTCTTCTTTCGTTTTTTCTGTCCGCAGTTCCTGGCCAGCTGTTGGCGTGTGCTAACCTCGAGTTGCAGGCTTCTGTCGCGCGCGTCGCTGGTGGCGAGCTCTCTTCCAGAAAAAGTCGGCGTGCCTTGATGATCGAGGCGCTCCGCGCATGGCAGGTCCAGACAGCTGGGGATACATGAATTTGCTGGAGGAAGTGCGGGGGAAGCTGAGCAAGAACGTCAAGCTGGAGGCGAAGCAGGGCAACGTGAAGAACAGTCAGAGCATGGGCGCGATCGAGGCGCCCATCGGATGTTTTCAGGAGAAGGGGAGAACCTACAAATTCGATTTGGAGAAGCGCTACGGCATGAAGAGCACGGCAGACGCACCGATCTGGCGCTGGGTGACGCGCAACTTGACCTCGGCGACTTCGACGTGCAGGCCGAGAGCCGATGGGGGGGCATCTCATCAGGCAGACTGCGGAGTAACCTACAACGGCGAGATCCTACCATGCGCGGAGACCGCGCTCTTCAAGGAAACGACCTCCCACGCGTGGCAGATCGCGGCGTGGGCGCTCGAGCGCGAGGGCGAGTCGAGCTTCGTGATGGGCGTTTGGATCGGGAAGCACACGGAGGGCGATGCCACTTGTTCCTGGCACCAGCAGGTTGGCATCGTGCCAGGACCCGCAGGAGGCGGGGCCTGCGCCGCGGAACGACGCGAAGTTGCGGAAGGCGGCGGCGGCTTTGCCCTGGGGCGCGCGGAGCGCCGAGCCGCGCGAGCCGCGGCCGCGAATGCAGCGGCCCGTGCCCGCGATCGTCCTGGCGGCGGCGGAGCAGACGGCGAAGCAGGCAGAGGCGGAGGCGGTAGCAGCGCCGGGGGGGATCAACAGCAGCGGGCGCCAGAGCAGGGGGCGCAACCAGCAGCTGGGGGCGGAGACGCGCGACGCCCTGAACCGGTGCCAACGGCGGGGCCTGGAGCAGGAGCAGCAGCGGCAGCAGGGCCACGGGCGGAAACCGCGATGGAAGAGGACGCGCCAGCTACCCCGCGAAGTCTAACCCGACCAGCTGATGACCAAGACCATGGTGCACCTGGCAAGCGAGCGAGGCGCGTGGAAGCGATCTCGCTGGACGACCCGATCGATTGCAGCGCCTTGGGCTGCGCTGACGTGGCGGCCTACGTCGCGGCCAGCGGCCTGGGCGCAGCGGTGGGGCTCAAGGGCATGCGCGAGGCGCTGGAGGTGCTGGCGCGCTACGGCGCGCGCAGGGACACTCCGGGGAGCGAGAGCGGGAAGTTCAAGATGATCGAGGCGCGCTGGGGGCCGCAGATGCGAGGAGGGGCTTGTAAGTGGCGGTACGTGGCGCAGGAGTTCAAGTGGATGGAGCAGCGAGGCGACGTGTTCGCAGCGAGCTTCTCAGCGCAGACGAGCCGACCGGTGGACTTCGTCGGCATCAAGGAAGGGAACCACGGCGCGCTCATTGCGGACTGCGTGAAGGCCTACTACCAGGCAGACGAGACGGAGATGGTGTGTGTGGAGCCGCCTGCCGAGTACCTGGCGATCCTGGCGGAGTTGGGGAGACCGACCGACATTGCGTGGGCGCTGGAGAAGATGCTGCCGGGGCAGCGCGTGGCAGGCGCTGGCTGGGTGGATAAGGCGGCGGAGTCTTTGACACGGCGAGGGGTTTGGGCGATGCGAGTGCCAGCCCCAGTTCTACTGCCACATGGAGAAGGAGGTCCTGGTCGAAGTGCACGTGGCTGATTTCCAGGCGAAGGACCTGTGAAGGACCTGGATGGCGCCATCATGGGGCCGAGGGGGCGTGGGCCTGGAGGCGACGGATGTCGTCAGGAAACGGCGCTACTCGCACCTGAAGCGCGACATGCTGAGACTCATGAGCGGGGGCGTGATGCTGCGCCCGAACGTCAAGCGCATCGAGGACCTGATCTACGTGATGGGCACGGGCAAAGCGAAGCCCGCGAAGGTGCCCAGCTCGGCGGAGGAGGGGCCGACCTGGAGTCCAGAGCTGGGCGAGATCGAGACGGCAAAGTACCGCAGCGGCGTGGGCATCTCGCGCTTCATCTCTCCCGACAGAGCCAACGTCCGGAGGGGCGTGCAGCTGCTGGCGAGAGCCTGGGCCAACCGACGGAGTTCGACAGGAAGCGCTTGGCGAAGGTAGTGGGGTACCTGAAGGGGGCGAAGACATCCGGAGTGCTGCTCAAGAAGCCAGTGGTGGGCATGCCTGGCGAGGTGAAGTTACAGGTGCATGCGTGCGCGGACTTCGCGACGTGAAAGATTCCGAGGAGTGCGATGACATGTGGGATCACGGAGCTGGGCGTTGTGCTGTTCGCGGCTTTCGCAAGGCGCCCGGGAGTCCAGACCGCATCTTCAGGAGAGGCGGTGTCCTGCGTGGCGACCTCAATGGTGATGGGCGGTAAGCTCATCAAGAACGCGCTGGAGTGGCTGGGTTGCAAGGTGACCTGGGGGCTGTCGACGGACAGCCGCGCCGCGAAGGCCATGATCAACCGCGATGGCTTAGGCGAGGTGAGGCATCTTGACGTTCGAGCGCTGTGGATTTAGCGCGAGCGGAAGCAGACTGGCCTGAACGCGAGGAAGGAGAGCGGCGAAAAACACGTGGCGGACCTGGGCGCCAAAGCGCGCCCCGCGGCGAGGTTCGAGTATTAGCGAGACCTGGCGGACATTGCGGACTGCTCGGCGATGGAACAGCACGAGGAGCTGGAAGCGTGCTCGGTGACAACGACCACGAGCCGGGCAAGGCAGAGCCTGCTGGCCACCTTGCTGGCGCAAGGGGCGATTGTGGGTTCGGCGACCAACTGCGAGCTGGACATCTACGAAAAGAAGCAGACCACCAGCCTGGTTGGATCGGCGTTTCGCGTTCGGCGAGAACGCGCTGGCGATCGTGATGCCGTGCGCGCCGGCGGTATTCATGACTTGGCCTGGCGTGCGGATGGCGTCGCGCAGGTGCGTGGGCCAACGCGAAAGAAGAGCAGCGAGATGCGCGAGATGGTGCAGGTTAAAGGAGAGGGTAACCAGGTGCAGGCCACCGACGATATCAAGAGGAAGAAGAAGGACGGAGGCCCGACGACAGCCGAGAAGATGTCGCAAGCGCCGTGCACTTGCAAGTGGATGAACGAGAGCCCGAGGTTCGTGGCGTTGCCAGCTGCGAGCCATGGCTGAGCTTGGGGCGACTGGCGAGGAGATCCACATCGCCGAATTCGGCGAGTGCGCCTGCGCCGAGACGCCGTGGGGGCGTGCAGGGGTCAGTGAGTGTGTGGCCCCCTTGCAGGGCCTGTAATGTAGGGGCCCAGGAGTGCGCGGCGTGCGCGAAGGCCGAGGAGGCCCGAGACCGCTGGAGAGGGGCGCCCCCTCCGAAGCTCATCGGGGCTCGAGAAACATCGAGCCTGCATCATCATCTCTGCGTGGTTGTGGCGGGTTGTGGTGGGTTGTAGTGGTGGTGGTGGTGGTGGAGGTTTGTGGGGGTGGTGGTGGTGTAGTGGTTTGTGGGGGTGATGGTTGTGGTGGTGGTGGGTTCTGGTGGTTGTGGTGGTGGTGGTGGTGGTGATGGTGGTGTGGTGGGTTGTGGTGGTGATGGTGGTGGTGTGGCCTTCGGGTCTTCCCGCAACCGTGTCTTGGCTTTGAGTTACAGTTCTACTGGATGCCTCTTGGGGTCTCGCCAGAGGGGTCTCGGGGGCGTCTGAGGAG